CCTGATCATTTTCAAGATTTTCCCTTATGGATCATTGGTTGTTAGGAACAGCAATTTCAATTAAATATATCATACATCAAACAAACACAGTGATATTTAAGAAGTGAAATTAAGTTTATAGGATTTACAGCAAGTGTGCAATAATTACTTAAACAAAAGTAGGCAGGTGCATAAATTTGGGCACCTCAACAGAAAAATTACATCAATATTTAGTAGATCCTCCTTTTGCAGAAATAACCTATAGCTTCCAATGAGGGTCTGGATTCTGGTTGAAGGTATTTTTGACCATTCTGATGGTTTCCGAGCATGGACAGCCCGCTTTAAAACAGACCACAGATTTTCAATGATATTTAGGTCTGGGGACTGAGATGGCCATTCCAGAACGTTGTACTTGTTCCTCTGCATGAATGCTTTGGTAGAATTTGAGCGGTGTTTAGGGTCGTTGTCTTGTTGAAGTATCCAGCCCCGGCGCAACTTCAACTTATCACTGATTCTTGAACATTGTTCACAAGACTTTGCTGTTACTGACTGGAATCCATGCAACCTTCAACTTTAACAAGATCTTGTTAAAGCTGAAGGTCACACAGCCCCACAGCATGATGGAACCACCACCAAATTTAACTGTGGGTAGCAAGTGTTTGTCTTGGAATGCTGTGTTCTTCTTCCGCCATGCATACCACCCCTTGTTATGTCCAAATAACTCAATTTTAGTTTCATCAGTCCATAGCACCTTATTCCAAAATGAAGCTGGCTTGTCCAAATGTGCTTTAGCGTACCTCAAGCGACTCTTTTTGTGGCATGGGCGCATTACTCTCCCATACAGCATGTCCTTGTGCAAAGTGCGCTGAATAGTTGAACGATGTACAGTGACACCATGTGCAGCAAGATCATGTTGTAGGTCTTTGGAGCTGGTCTGTGGGTTGAGTTTGGCTGTTCTCACCATCCTTCGCCTCTGCTTATCTGAGATTTTTGCCACTACGGGCCTTAACTAGAACTGTGCCTGTGGTCTTCCATTTCCTCACTATGTTCCTCACAGTGGAAACTGACAGCTGAAATCTATCCTCTATCCTAGCTTTTTGTATCCTTCCCCTAAACCATGATGTTGAACAATTGTTGTTTTCGGGTCATTTGACAGTTGTTTTGAGGCTCCCATGTTGCCAATCTTCAGAGAAGATGCAAAGGGGAGAACAACTTGCAACTGGCC